AAGCCTATATTAAAGTATGGGAGTTACGATCATCTCAGCGCTGAAATCGCGTTGTGCAAGTGGGCCTTGGACGTTCAAAGGGTTGCAATTTGTAACAATTCCATAGGGGCAGTACATATTGCATCTAATAGACTGAATATTCTTTGATCTGTTGCGAGACGCTTAAGGAAGGTAGAAGACTTATATTCAGCATGAACACCGTCATAAACTAAACACTACTCGCATAGTCGGTGATAGGTCAAGGTTGCTTAAACATTGCATGTAGTCTCTTAAAGGTCATGACATTATGATCCGAGTTCCCTCCCTTCAGAACTCACTGGGCAGAATTAAAGCGTTTGCTCGTCACGCGGTAGGCCCGGGTTCGATTCCCTAATTCTGGGAGTTGATATGACGAGATGGAGCTCAGCTTGAATCTTCCGCTTGCATGTTATTCGACTGGTCCCCGGTCCTCCCAACGTGAACTCCCGGAGTACGGGGTTTCTCACTCATGGCGGAATCTGCTTACACCTATATGATATGATCTCCTATGAACCTGCACATGGAAAACTTTTTCAACAAGGATCGTATAGACCCGATCGGTTTCCAAAAAAAGTACCCTAGACGTGACTGTGTACATTGGATAAATAGCGGAGCGGTTCAAGTAGTAGGCTTCGTTTTGTGGTTGCAGTCTGATTTATATTTGTAGACAAGACTCTTTTGGTGACAGTTTATTATACGCTCGACCTAAAACGGCGGGGGCATATAGTTATACCAAGGAATTCTGTGCCTCCGTCCGTCCGACCTATAACTTGAAAACTACAACATAGATTTTTTTTCAAACTTTTTATACCTATATGAGTGGAGAAGTGCAGTTTGATTTCAATATTTGGATTTTCTGAAACTAGACAGCTTTTTATTTTCTTAAACATTTGTGCGACCTATATCTTGAAAACTTCGGGGTGGATTCTTTTCAAACTTAGGGAACAGTTTTCAAAACAATAGGAGGGGTGCAGTGCAAAGTTTGATTTTGATATATGAATTTCCGGAAAAATATGAGGTTTTTCATGTTGTGAACTTAGATTTTTTTTAGTTCAACATATGTGCAACCTATGAATTGAAAACTGCTTCATTAATTATTCTTTTCCAATTGGGGATACAGTTTCTATACCATTAGATGAGGTGCAGTGTAAAGTTTGTTTTCAATTATTTGTATTTTCTGAGAAAATATTGCTTTTTTCATATTTTGAACTTGGAAATATGTTGGACTCGAAGTCGGGGTTATTAGTGAGCCCTCCTCACTTTTTGTCTTGTTTTGTTTGGTTTCATAATCCTCGCACGACGATATTCATACCAACATTTACCACCCACAATCTCATTAAAATCAGATCTAAGTTCTCTCTACCGCCCATTGAAGAAACAACCTTTCACCCGACCAATCGGAGCGTCGCTTACTAGATCGGGAAAGTGACAGTCGGAATGTGTTTTCTTATCAACGTTGGAAAGGATAACATGGGATATTCCGAAGGACATTTACGAGCTGAACGACTGAATCCGTCAAAATCATCGTCTATCGGTCGCTTCAATGGGACAAACATTAAAAGGGAAGAGACTCCTAACACGGATATGCAGATGACATAGCAAGGATATAGTCAGGGTGACTGAGATTCTGGTCGCTGTAATGTTTTGCAGAAAAGGAATCCAAACAACGGAAAACAATTTACAGAATTACACAATTCGACTGCCGCCATGTTTTTCATGTTCAGGTGAAAGTCACTAGCTCGAAACAAGATCCAACATGGCTTCCAACAGTGCTGACAGAGGTCCTTCTGGACTGAGACGATTTAACAGCGGATATAAATGACCATGAGACAGAACGTTTCACCAGGAGACATATAACTTTCTTGACGTCCTTTATCGCAAACCTAACCTATTTTGTAATGAAGCAAAGGCCGTTTTGTTGGTTGGAGGAATGAAGGGTGTTAACATGACACTTCACAAACTATAGCTTGATTTCATGTCTCAATAAAAATTTGGATACCGCTGTATCTCATTAAACCAGGTGTTACCCTTACGTCTCCGTGCATGCAGTCTAGGTTAGGCCACACAAACCACATCTTGTTTCTCATCACTTTCATGACAAAATAGGTTCAACTTATATTTAAATATGGTTTTGCGATTTTCAGCCGCTCTAACCCGGTTCTCAAGTTCGGTCACATAAAAACCTTACTACTCTTGCGATCTCATTTTTCATCTCCTACCACAATCAGAAAGAGAGAGGGCGGGCGCAACAAAATGTAACAAAAATAAGAAGAAAAGTATGTTTTTCCCAGACTGTGTGACTGTTTTTATTTCATATTAAAGTGGTACCAGTTTTTATATTAATGTATGACGTAGATCGAGTCGCTTTGCTTCGGAAACGATTTTTAAATAACACTCCTGAGCAAAGATCAAGCTGATCTGGGTTTTTAAATGAGTGTGCAGTTAAAGTGGTACTTTTGTTATCACATCGGGGTATAATTTTTCACAACGGCTACGAAAGTAGATATTCAAAAAACAACTGTGTTATTCCATGTCGGAAATTATAACTCAGGGCGGACGGGACATGGGAAACATAATGTACGGGCTCTTACTATTTTACTATTTTATAAAAATAAATAGGTAGGTAGGTCGAAGTTTTATGTAGTTTCTTATTGCAATTTCTGCACTAACCTCAATTCATAACTGAAGGGGGGGGGGGGGGGGGGGGGGACTCCCGCCCGATGTGTCCCGACTTTGGTGAAACCCACGATCATATGGTGGCCGAGAGGGGACATCGCTTTCTCGCTTTCTCGCTTTCTCGCTTTCTCGCTCTATCGCTTTCTCGCGGTATAGCAATATTTCCTCTTGGCCACTATATGGGTTTCTTTACGATAAAAAGTATATACGTAAAACAACATTAATGAATTGTTAAACCTGACCTCAGTAGGGGAGGGGTTTAAATCATAAAAGAAGCGAGAAAGCGATGTCCCCTCTCGGCCACCATACGATCACGGGTGTGTTGCTGACAAACCTAGAAACATAATAGTATTAAATTTTGTATTCTTGGTGGTCGAGTGGTTTTATCGTTAGCTCACTTCGCCCTAGACTCAAATTTGACACCCATATGCATGGCCATATTAATTTGTCCATTTCAGGTGCCCCCGTATAGAAAAAGGTTACATAATTAATAACAGAAGTCACATGACGGTAATATACATGTACTATAAATAAAGATCTTTATTAATATAGGAAACATAGACAGGCTCGTTTATTAACAACAAAGGGTATCAACGTTCCAAAGACAGCGTCTTTAAAACGAACCCAGGACAACCCAATGTCCATTTTAGTCATTCGATGTACCCCGATGTACCCCGTAGTATGCATTTGAAACAAATCATTCTGTAAATATTTACACACAGTAAACTCTATCTGTTTCACTGACGACACCTACAGTACATCTATAGTATATATTTGACCTTTTCTAACCCCACATCAAGCCCAGTGTCCCCGTTGTAATAAGACTGGAGTTTTGCTGAAAGCGACGTCACGAGCTATGTTTAGTCACTCAGTGTCTGGTCCAAGTGGAAAATTTACCGACAACTGCCAAGATGCTGCACCTTTGTGGAGATTCCGGGTTAGAATACGTCACCAGCAACCTATGCTGGGTTCACTTCCACAAAGTGGTCTCAGCGCTACGACATTCTCGACATATATGTTTCAGCCGCAATGAGGTCAAACAAGCACGTAACACAACTTGTATATTTCAGACACAATGCGGACAAACAACAAGCACGTAACACAACTTGTCAATTTCAAACACAATGCGGACAAACAGCAGGCACGTAACACAACTTGTAAATTTCAAACACAATGCGGACAAACAACAAGCACGTAACACAACTTGTAAATTTCAAACACAATGCGGACAAACAACAAGTGCGTAAAACAAAATGTTTGTTTCAGACACAATGAGGTCAAACAACAAGCACGTAACACAACTTGTATGTTTAAGACACAATGAGGTCAAACTACAAGGACGTAAAACAAAATATATGTTTCAGACACATTGACGTCAAACAACAAATAAATGAAACAACATGTATGTTTTAGACACAATATCATTGAGGCCAAGCAATAAGCACGTAAAACAAAATGTATGTTTCAGACACAATGCGGACAAACAAGCACGTAAAACAAAATATATGTTTCAGACACAATGAGGTCAAACAGGCACGTAACACAACTTGTATATTTCAGACACAATGAGGTCAAACAACAAGCACGTAACACAAAATGTTTGTTTCAGACACAATGAGGTCAAACAACAAGCACGTAACACAACTTGTATGTTTCAGACACAATGAGGTCAAACTACAAGGACGTAAAACATAATATATATTTCAGACACATTGACGTCAAACAACAAATAAATGAAACAACATGTATGTTTTAGACACAATGTCATTGAGGCCAAACAATAAGCACGTAAAACAAAATGTATGTTTCAGACACAATGAGGTCACACAACAAGTATGTTTCAGACACAATGAGGCCAAACAACAAGTATGTTTCAGACACAATGAGGTCACACAACAAGTATGTTTCAGACACAATGAGGTCACACAACAAGTATGTTTCAGACACAATGAGGTCACACAACAAGTATGTTTCAGACACAATGAGGTCACACAACAAGTATGTTTCAGACACAATGAGGTCACACAACAAGTATGTTTCAGACACAATGAGGTCACACAACAAGTATGTTTCAGACACAAAGAGGCCAAACAACAAGTATGTTTCAGACACAATGAGGTCACACAACAAGTATGTTTCAGACACAATGAGGTCACACAACAAGTATGTTTCAGACACAATGAGGTCACACAACAAGTATGATTCAGACACAATGAGGTCACACAACAAGTATTTTTCAGACACAATGAGGTCACACAACAAGTATGTTTCACAGACAATAAAGTCACACAACGTGTATGTTTCAGACACAACGACCTGTCATGGCAGTACCGGAAATACGCCCAAAACAAAGTGTACCAGGTGAACCTGAACATGGACTTGGCGCTCACGTGGAACACCACCCACACGGACATCAAGAGGATACGGGACGGGAAGCTGGGGGCGCAGGTAAATAGATATACACAATCAGTTGAGTGTCTTGCGATTGTCACGCGTGAACACCCGGGGTAGAATAGGTCTTCAGCCACCTGTGCTCGCTGTAAAGACCGCCTCCTTGGTCTAGTGGTAGGGCGTCCGCCCGGAGAGCGGAAGGTCCGGGGTTCGATCCCCGGTCGTGTCATACCAAAAGACGTTAAAAGATGGTTCTTGTTGTTACCCTGTCTGGCTAAGGGTTAAGGGGGCTAAAACAAGGACTGGTCGGCTCGGAGTCAGTAGACTGTGTCTGAGTGGGGTATTCATGTTAAACTGCGGCATGGTATCTCAGTGAGCTAGCACTATAAATCGGCATCAGTCCGGACTAGTACAGGCAGCCACACACACACACACACACACACACACACACGTGCATGCAACAATCTTGGACGCGACGTTAAACCCCATTTCACCTCACACCTTGCTGTAAAAGGCGACTATGCTTGTCGTAAGAAGCTAGTCACGGTATCCCAACTGTGTTGATGATGATGTCAGTCATCTGATTGTCTGGTCCAGACTTGAATATTTACAGACTGTCGTCATGTTGCTGGAACATTGCCGAGTGTGGCGTTAAAGAACAAACAAACAATTATGTGTCTTGGCTTGAATTTAAGTGTACGGTCGGGCGAGTCGCTTAAGGTGGCAAAATTTACGGTGCAGGGTTACTTTGTGCTGGAATCGTTTTCCTAAATCGCCTCGATTATGATTCTTGGTTTGGTGTTTTTCACCAAAGGGGATAATGTCCTTAGCCCGTATCACTTCGTGATTTTCTCTGACATCGATCTGACACCCGGTAACATAACTGAAACACTGTTCAATGTGCGTGCGTGCTTGAGTGCGCGCGTGTGTGTGTGCGTGTGTGTGCGCGCTCGGATTTTGTATCGGGATAACATATTTGTTCATCTACAGCTACCGAACCAGATACCTTTATACTTAAAACTATGAAACTTATTAAGCAAGACACCTTGGAACAATGTAATTGTTGCAGGCAACTTTTATTCAACTGTTTGAAACATAATTATTATTTTCAAGAATTTTCGGGGACAATAATTTTCCTTGATAAAATCAATATTGATAAAATACCCGTGCTCGTGGGTTTCACTAAAGTAGTAAACATCTAGGACCTTCATTACTTCGGACTTTCTTCCCACATTAAGCTGACACGCCGCGTTCTGACTGGAATACTGTTACAAGTGGCTCATTCATCCTTGGTCGAATCCATGGTCTTTAACACCTACTTGTTGTTGGACATTTAGAATATTTAACACACGTTAGTAAGTGCCGCTTTTAAACCATCGTTCCAACACAACAAGGAACACGTCATTATTTCCAGGTTGGGAATCGAAGCGACCTTTTCGATGTGACAAACGAACGCTTTACAAATTAGACTACCCCACTCCCCTTTAACATGCATACTAAGACTGAATGGTGTAATGTGTCATGTTGATAAATCAATTTCTACTTGTCGGCTTCGTGTATATGGTTATATGAGTATGGTTTTACGCCGCGTTTAGCAATATTCCAGCAATATCACGGCGGGGGACACCAGAAATGGGCTTCACACATTGTACCCATATCGGGAATCGAACCCGGGTCTTCGGCCTGACGAGCGAACGCTTTAACCATTGGGCTACCCGACCGCCCCTTTGTGTATATGACATGTATATAAGAAGGTATATAAGAAGCTTTGAGCATTGTACACAGCTGCGACAGCTTAGTGGAATTCCAGGACAGATGAACCACAGCACACCCCGGGGTTTTCTGTAAGGGCAATGCAAATAATGAAGAAGGAATCGGGGTGTACACAACAAACTTAGCGTTACGATGATCGTAATCCTATGTTTAAGTATGGGTATTACATTACGGCCATTACGCTATGATCACTTTGTACTACGGCACCAAAGTTTGTTTGTTTTGTTTGTTTGTTGTTCACCGCCGCACGCAGCAATATTCAAGCTATATGACGGCGGTCTGTAAATAGTCGAGTCCGAACCAGACAATCCAGTGATTGACATCATCAGCATCGATCCACGCAATTGGGTTACGATGACATGAATCAACCAAGTCAGCGAGCCTGGCCACCCGATCCCGTTAGTCGCCTCTTACGACAATCATAGTCGCCTTTTACGGCAAGCATGGGTTGCTGAAGACCTATTCTACCCCGGATCTTCACGGGTGGGCACCAAAGTAGTTGCAATGTGTCACCTGACTGGTTGCAATTGTGTGTCGTCGCGCCCTAGTGGCATTGCTCGCTGCTTTTGCTGTCAATCACTGGTTTGTCTGTTCCAAACTCGAGTGTTTAAATGTTGTGGTGGAATAGTCGCGCCCTCGGTGTAATATGAGACACGGGGAGAGTGATAATCTAACGCCACATCTTCATCAGGGAAATTCATAGTCTAACGCTACATTTTCATCAGGGAGATTGATGAGCTAACGCCACATCTTCAGTTAGCAGATCGATAATCTACCGCCACATCTTCATAAGGGAGATTGATAATCTAACGCTACATTTTCATCAGGGAGATTGAGAGTCTAACGCTACATTTTCATCAGGGAGATTGATGAGCTAACGCCACATCTTCAGTTAGGAGATCGATAATCTACCGCCACATTTTCACCAGGGAGATTGATAATCTAACGCTACATTTTCATCAAGGAGATTCATGATCTACCGCCACATCTTCATCAGGGAGATTGATAATCTAACGCTACATTTTCATCAAGGAGATTCATGATCTACCGCCACATCTTCATCAGGGAGATTGATAATCTAACGCTACATTTTCCTCAGGGAGATTGATGATCTACCGCCACATCTTCATCAGGGAGATTCATAATCTAACGCTACATTTTCATCAGGGAGATTGATAATCTAACGCCACATTTTCATTGGGCAATTTGACATTGTTTAATCGTGACGATTATTTTCGTGTTTTTTTTAAGTGAGCGAGTTAACACTGGCCTGAACAGTAATTCATTTATGCCAGTTACATTTGAGAGGAAAGCCTAGAGACGCAGGTGATGGTCCTCTAACACTGCCTTGAAACCCCGGACTACAATTTTTATGCTGACAGACCAAGGATCTTAATCGGACGAATCTCTGATTCGAACCGGTGAACAACGGATCTCTGTCACCAACGTTCCATCATATCAATGTGCTATTGGTAGTATAGCATTAGGACGATGAGTATAGCGAGGGGACGCTATACATATATGTTTTACCATGACAGTTAAGAGTTTCCTTTGGAATTACGTTGATTGTCTTGAAATGCGAAACACCATGTATCTATGAAAACGCTATGAAACCTTTTTCAGTTTTGGGCCATCTTTGCTCTGTGCGACTCTCAGTCCAAAGACGCAGTGAGACAGTTTCTGGACCAGACTGACACAATCAAGAAGTTCGTGGGAAAATATCCGGAGACCTTCAAGTTTGTCACGACTGCAGATGGTGAAATATTGTTCTTACTAACGTTATGATTTAAATATATTCTTATTGCTTAATAGAGTTTTGACGTGCCCCGATCGCGTGCATCGGTGCTCATAATATCAATCACTGGTTTGTCTGGTCCAGACTCGATTATTCACAAGCCGCCGTCATGTGGAATATTGTTGAGTTCGGTGTTAATAACAGTAAAATATACTACTTAACATTTGAGAGGGAAACGTGGCTATTTCATACTGTTGCCTTACTAGAAGACAGCAACTGGTGTACTTGAATAGTGTCCTTACGTTAACTTTAAATAGAGCCAAACACGTCGATGTATGCACGTCTTCGATGGAGCTGAACATGCCCGATGTGCATGGCACTATGGGATACTGTTGTTATGGCACCATCTCAAAGCAGCCAATCACACACATTCAGGTCCCAAACTCAGATTATCTCTATCAGCTGTTGGGTAGTGTATATCTGCCAGATAGCCGACCCCCAAATGTATCCCACTGATGCCTGGACGTGGTGTGCACGACCTAACAACACAGTCTATCAAGGTGCAATGTGTGTGACCGAACCAGGGCCAGGTAAAACCGTGGTTGACATCATGAGCAAAGATGTGTGCAGTTGGGGTACGATGACACTATCAGCCAGGTCACATGATTCCTCTTTGGCCGGCTGTACAAGCGTGGTGGTACAGGGGACAGATACTACTCAAAACAAGTTGAAAGGCTGTGTTGCAATACCCACCACCGTGACAGACTCACTGTAGTCATAGGAAAATCGAATGTTCTTTAACTTCTTTTGAGGAATATATATAGCACCGTAATTCTCTCACGACTAAGACGGTTTCCTTGATATAATCTAGCTGGGGCTAAGGGGTAGAACTCAAAGTAACTACAAAAATAAAACATAAGGGCGAAACATGCCAAAAGAATATGTTTTGTCACACCTGATTGTGCTGAACAAAATGTTAAAAATCTTGAACATATTGAAAGAAAAAAACACCGGGAATTTAACTTCAGAGAGTGTTTTTTCATTAAGTACCACACATGAAGACAACGATACGAAATCAGCGACATCGTTCAACGCAATAGTGCAACAAGGGTACTGCCTATTTTGTTATCAGCTTTTCAAGAATAGTAGGCCGGTAGTCGGCGTGTCCTAGTCCATTTCTGGTTTATGGAAACATAAACGCAAAAATATTTTCTTGGGTTAGCCAATCAAACATCACGATATCACTAGCAATGTATTTATTATTGGATAAATGCAGTTATATGTCCTCCTTCTTGCTGCCTGTGGCGCAAAGTCTCACTCGCGCATTGATAACACCATCCATCATGATAAATATTCCTTCATTGGCCACACAGGGATCTTGGAAGCCTTCAATGACGGGAAGGTCGCAAGTCTACTTGGGTTGGAGGGAGGTCATGCCATCGACAGCAGTCTCGGTAATCTGCGCATGTTCTATGACCTCGGGGTCAGATATATGACCGTCACACACAGCTGCAACACACCATGGTATTATTATATTATCATTGTCTTTTATATACCGGTCCATCTTAAAGTCCAGTTTCCCCTGGCCTTTTTTGTCAGTTAACTCCACTGCCTCGGGAAAATGATACGGGCTCTTATAGTGGGCGTTATTATACGTTAAGGAACCTTGACACCGTAGTTCTTAAAGCTGGCTATAGACAACTTGAGATAACACTACAAATGGGATAACATGAGATAACACAAATGAGATAACGTGAGACGTGGAATAACATGGTGGGATAACGGTTATGGGAGATAACACTGTGGACGTAAACTGTATGAGTGTATGTTGGATAACACATAAGGGAAGCAACTGTACGGGGAATAACTGTGTATGGTGATAACTCTAAGAGTATAACGTCAGATAACTAATGGAGATACATATGTTGATTATAACACTGTACGAGGATAAGACTACGTGAGAACTACGTAAGGGGAATAACTATGTTAATGATAACATGGCACGAGGATAACACTACGTGGGATATACGTAAGGGAGATAACTATGTTAACGATTACTTACGATGATAACACTACCTGAGATACCTACGTAAGGGAGATTGTGCGGTTAATGATCACACCACGGGAGATAACTCTGTACAGGGTACACATTGTAGGAACGATAACCTGTGACACACCAGTACTGCTGATTTCTGTAATTCAGGGCCGACAACTGGATGGTGGACATTGACAAGACCCCTGAACATAACGGCCTGACAGACTTCGGCAAGGTGAGATGGGCTTTTCTACCAAACTAAAGACCCGTGAAGATCGGGGGTAGAATAGGTCTTAAGCAACCCATGCTTGCCGTAAAAGGTGACTATGCTTGTAAAAGGCGACTAACGGGATCGGGTGGTCAGGCTCGCTGACTTGGTTGATGCATGTCATCGTATCCCAATTGCATGGATTGATGCTCATGATGTCAATCACTGGATTGCCTGGTCCTGATTCGATTATATGATCTAGCTGGAAAATTGCTGACTACGGCGTTAAACAACAAAAAAACAAAATAACTTAATTATATTGACCATAACCATGGTTGTTATGTACGCGAATTTACTGTATGTTTCAGACCGTGATCCGTGAGATGAACCGCTTGGGGATGCTCGTCGACCTCTCCCACGTGTCCCGCAAAACCATGATTGACGCACTGTCGGTGACGGACGCTCCCGTCATTTACAGTCACTCCTCCGCCTTCGCCATCTGCAACCACTACCGCAACGTCCAGGACGACGTCTTGAACCTCACGGTAGTCACCCGAAATCAGCCTGTCGATTACATTAATCTCATAGAAAGGGGGCCACAGGTGGCCAAGGTGCCAATCCGCTATGCAGAGTTGCGTCCCTTAGGTGTGTCAGAACTCTTTTATTGTGGGTTCGATTCCAAGTTTCGTCCTTATTATGTTTTGGGTTTGTCAGCACCATACCCTTCCTCTTTGGGTTCACAAAAGGGGTAAACGTCTGACACCCTCATCACTTCGGAATTTCCTCCCACATCAAGCTGACACGCAATGATATAACTGCAATACTGTTGAAAGCGGTTGTTTAAGTCCACCTTACACACTCAAGCAATGAAAGATTATTAGTTGAAAACCGTTTGATATGGTCACATGCAAAATCCTTTTTCTCATTACTTAAAAATTTGTATATATATGGCGATTTTTTATATATTTCTTCTTTTTACCCTAATGTTGGAGCATGCCATTTGAATCAACGTTTTGGTGACGATGACATTTAATGAGCGCTTTCAGCAGACCCGATTTGGCACAGGCTTGGGTCTATTTTCAGTTTTTACATTATTTTAAATACCCAGGATTCTAGGGCAGAACAGATATTTAGTACCCGATTGTTGTTGGGTTTTTTTTGGATAAAAACCCACGAAATATAGATCGGATGGTTACACTATGAAATGGCCAAGTCACGCGGCGACATCGTCACTCATACTGTTATGTTCCGCATCTAGATGTCCAGCGGACAATTGTCTTGTTGCAAACCTTGACTACAAATTGCCTTTTTTCCAGCAATTTTTTTAAACGAATTATTTTTTTCAAATAGGCGAGAGGGAGAAAACACATTTTATCTTCTGATTATCTTTTCTTTTGAAACAGAAAATTAATGAAGGTGTGGTGATGGTGAATTTCTACGATTTGTACATCAACTGTTTCCCGAACAACCAGAGCGTTGCGACTTTGGCTCAGGTGGCAGGTATGTCGTTCGTTGCACATCAAGCTTGACATGTAGATTTAGTCAATACAAGAAGAAAACAAACAACTGGGATATTGTTTATTGCCTCGCAAGGTAGTTTCCTATCGGCGTGACCACCGAACGTTTTAACCACTCGGCTACCCGGCAGCCCTGATGCCTGGGTTGGACTTAATTACAACAGTGAATTACGGCCTGTCAAAGTACGCGCATTTGTTTCATAAGAATTGACATTAATATGTCCTTGCGTTTATGGAGTTCTAAGCGTAGACATCGGTGTGTACACTTATGTATATTCGTTATGCTGGGGATTTATACTTCCCCAGAATCCCAACAGGGAGACGAGCATGGGGCAACGTTTTGTACGTTTATACCTCCATGAGCGCAATAATTATTATTGAAGTCAATTCATAACAAAACACATTTATGTCGGAAGGGTGGGGTTGGGGGTAAGGGGGTCGTGTCATCTGAAAATAGGGCGGACAAGTATTTGGGAGTTATTTAGGTTTTGCTCCGCTTTTACTATGAAGTCAAAAACCAGATCGAAAGATATTTCAATATCAGTGACATGAAGTGCAAACAAACATCGGTCGTTTGTTTTCTTTCGTTAAATATGAAATTCAAGTCTTGGTAAACGCCAAGACCACGTGCCACTCACTCAGCTGCTGCTAATGTTTCGTGTACACATGTTGTGTTTCTAATGTCTCGTGCATGCAATCGTATTGTTGTGTACCTATAATGCTGTTACTTGATCTATCTGGATGCCTAGGTCTCGTTATCTCGAATGTCCGGATATCTCGAAGTATCCCCGCCAGGTTCAAGATAACGGTTCGAGTCAACTATGTTTGAACAACACCACAGTTTGGACACCAAGAATGGCACACCCATTGTGAAATCAACCCTCTTCGGTGTGGCGAATGTTTTTTCAGCAGTGTCGATTTCTTTGCCAGTAAGGCCACCAACGCCCCATTTTGGTGAGGTGAAATTGGGATTAACGTCGCGTCCAAGATTATTGCACTTATATAGCGACGTGCATGTGTATGTGTGTGGCTGCTTGTACTGGTCCGGACTAATGCCGATTTATAGTGCTCGCACACTGAGATACCATGCCGCAGTTTAACATGAAGACACAGTATACTGACTCCGAGCCGACCAGTTCTTGGTTTAGCCCCTTAATGCTGAGCGCCAGACAGTGTAACAACAAGTTCCATCTTTTAACGTCTTACCCCTTCCGCTCTCCGGGCGGACGCTCTACCACTAGACCACGGAGGCGGTCCATTTGAGGAAAGCCTTCTATTGGTGGAGCAATGGATGAAATGTATAGATGTATTATCGCTTTTTTCAGCAAGGCCTAGAGATGTTATGAACTATGAATCTTTTTTTCAGACCACATTGACTACATCAAGAACCTGATTGGCGTCGACTATGTTGGAATAGGCGCTGATTATGATGGAGTCCCTACGTACGTTCAGATGACCTTTACCTTTGTTGCACTGCCAATAAGTCCCCAGTACCCCAAGCTTGTCGCTCTGTTGAGAATCGGGGCTAGAATAGGTCCCCATGCTTGTCTCTTTGTTGGGATTTTGAGAAAGACTAGGCCCCCAGTACCCAGCACTTGTCTCTCTGTTGGGAGTCGGAGACAAAATAGGTCCCCTGTATCCAATGCTTGTCTTACTTTTTGGAGTCGGGAACAGATTAGACCCCCAGTACCCCATGCCTGTCTCTCTGTTGGGAATCGGAGACAGAATAGGTTCCAGTACCCCATGCTTGTCTTCCTGTTTGGAATCGGAGACAGAATAGGTTCCAGTACCCCATGCCTGTCTCTCTGTTGGGAATCGGAGACAGAATAGGTTCCAGTACCCCATGCTTGTCTTCCTATTGGGAGTCGGGGACAGAATAGGTTCCAGTACCCCATGCTTGTCTCTCTGTTGGGAGTCGGAGAAAGTCTAGGCCCCAAGTACCCAGCACTTATCCCTCTGATGGGAATCGGAGACATAATAGGTTCCAGTGCCCCATGCTTGTCTCTCTGTTGGGAGTCGGGGACAGAATAGCTCCCTGTACCCCATGTTTGTCTCTCTGTTGGGAATCGGAGACAGAATAGGTCCCTGTACTCCATGCCCGTCTTTCTGTTGGGAGTCGGGGACAGAATAGGTTCCAGTGCCCCATGCTTGTCTCTGTTGGGAGTCGGGGACAGAATAGGTCCCTGTACTCCATGCCTGTCTCTCTGTTGGGAGTCGGGGACAGAATAGGTTCCAGTGCCCCATGCTTGTCTCTGTTGGGAATCGGGGACAGAATAGGTTCCAGTGCCCCATGCTTGTCTCTCTGTTGTGAATCGGGGACAGAATAGGTTCCAGTGCCCCATGCTTGTCTCTGTTGAGAATCGGGGACAGAATAGGTCCCTGTACTCCATGCCTGTCTCTCTGTTGGGAGTCGGGGACAGAATAGGTTCCAGTGCCCCATGCTTGTCTCTGTTGGGAATCGGGGACAGAATAGGTTCCAGTGCCCCATGCTTGTCTCTCTGTTGTGAATCGGGGACAGAATAGGTTCCAGTGCCCCATGCTTGTCTCTGTTGAGAATCGGGGACAGAATAGGTCCCTGTACTCCATGCTTGTCTTACTTTTTGGAATCGGAGACAGAATAGGTTCCAGTACCCCATGCTTGTCTTACTTTTTGGAATCGGAGACAGAATAGGTTCCAGTACCCCATGCTTGTCTCTCTGTTGGGAATCGGAGACAGAATAGGTTCCAGTGCCCCATGCTTGTCTCTGTTGAGAATCGGGGACAGAATAGGTCCCTGTACTCCATGCTTGTCTTACTTTTTGGAATCGGAGACAGAATAGGTTCCAGTACCCCATGCTTGTCTTACTTTTTGGAATCGGAGACAGAATAGGTTCCAGTACCCCATGCTTGTCTCTCTGTTGGGAATCGGAGACAGAATAGGTTCCAGTACCCCATGCTTGTCTCTCTGTTGGGAATCGGAGACAGAATAGGTTCCAGTACCCCATACTTGTCTCTCTGTTGGGAGTCGGAGAAAGTCTAGGCCCCAAGTACCCAGCACTTATCCCTCTGATGGGAATCGGGGACAGAATAGGTCCCTGTACTCCATGCCTGTCTCTCTGTTGGGAGTCGGGGACAGAATAGGTTCCAGTACCCCATGCTTGTCTTCCTGTTGGGAGTCGGGGACAGAATAGGTTCCAGTACCCCATGCTTGTCTTCCTGTTGGGAGTCGGGGACAGAATAGGTTCCAGTGCCCCATGCTTGTCTTCCTGTTGGGAGTCGGGGACAGAATAGGTTCCAGTGCCCCATGCTTGTCTTCCTGTTGGGAGTCGGGGACAGAATAGGTTCCAGTGCCCTATGCTTGTCTTCCTGTTGGGAGTCGGGGACAGAATAGGTTCCAGTACCCCATGCTTGTCTTCCTGTTGGGAGTCGGGGACAGAATAGGTTCCAGTACCCCATGCTTGTCTCTCTGTTTGGAATCGGAGACAAAATAGGTTCAAGTTACCCATGCTTGTCTCTGTTTGGAATCGGAGACAGAATAGGTCCCTGTACTCCATGCTTGTCTTCCTGTTGGGAGTCGGGGACAGAATAGGTTCCAGTGCCCCATGCTTGTCTTCCTGTTGGGAGTCGGGGACAGAATAGGTTCCAGTACCCCATGCTTGTCTTCCTGTTGGGAGTCGGGGACAGAATAGGTTCCAGTACCCCATGCTTGTCTCTCTGTTTGGAATCGGAGACAAAATAGGTTCCAGTTACCCATGCTTGTCTCTGTTGGGAATCGGAGACAGAATAGGTCCCTGTACTCCATGCTTGTCTTCCTGTTGGGAGTCGGGGACAGAATAGGTTCCAGTACCCCATGCTTGTCTCTCAGTTGTGAGTCGGAGAAAGTCTAGGCCCCAAGGACCCAGCGCTTATCTCTCTGATGGGAGTCAGGGAAAGAATAGCTCCCTGAACCCCATGCTTGGGTGGGTTTTGTTGACATGAATAGTGCTTCTTTGCTTTAATTTCATGACCACGTGTTTATCAGCCACGATTTACCCGGTATATATACCTCCATTCTGTTATGATAAATAACTTCATCTTGAGTCCGATTCAATCATATGCGAGACACATTATGTGGGAAGTTTACTGGTAAGAGAGACGGTGACGTCACATCCTCAACGATACGAGTGTATTTATCATAACAGAAAGTAGATATAACACACTGGATACTAGAGGATGTGTTTCTGTGTTGTCAAGGTTACCGCAGGGCTTAGAAGATGTTTCCACCTATCCTAAACTGTTTGAGGAACTTATAAATCGGGGCTGGACCGACCTTGAACTTGAGAAGCTGGCTGGACGGAATCTCATTCGTGTTTTCAAAGCTGCCGAGAAGGTGAGTTCAACTAGCCTTTGATCACTCCTCTTGTATACTTGAGTGAGTGAGTGAGTTTGGTTTAACGCCGCTTTTGACTTGGCCACCTGTGCCCCCTTATATACTTGAAGCTCTTGATCGTCGTTATAGCAAAGAGGGCGTGGTGGTCTGGTTGTCTTAAGACGCCGCAATACGTTGTTCAAAGCTGCGTCTCTTCGGCAGCCGTCTAACACGTCGTAATTCACTGTGCAGAGTTGCGTGCCTTGGCTACGCCAGAAACCTATGATTGTGGGTTCGAATCCCTGTTCGTCAGCACCCTACAGTGGTCGTTGGTTTCACCGAAGTGGTAAACGTCTAAGACCTGTACCACTACGGGCTTTCCTCCTACAATAAGCTGATACGCCGTGATATTGTCTGGATTGTCTGGTTCAGACGCGATTATTTACAGACCGCCGTCATACAGCTGGAATGTTGCTGAGTGCGGCGGTAAACAACATACAAACAAACACAATCATTTTAGCAGCAGTGCAATCACATTTTACTTCTTTTCTGCCAGGTGAAAATGAACCAGGCCAACCTTCCGCCATATGAAGATGTCATCCCGTATGAAGCCATCAACGGTAGCTGCCGGACCGGCTTTTAAATCAACGACAACGAATTGAGAAATCCAGTGTCGGGACACAACAAGACTTTCAATTATACTACTCAAAAGAAGTTAAAGAACACCTACTTTTTCATATGCCAATAGTTAATAGGTTTCACATGCATGTAGTGAGTATTGCAGCACACAGCCTGACCGTTGTGGGTGTTCTTTAGCTGGTTTTGAGATCGTGTAGTCTTTTTCCATGCGTCTCTCCTCAAATATGAAACCTCTCCCTTCCAAAGGTCTGTTTGTGAGGTAGAAAACAAGAGGAAATTATTGGATAACACCGGTTATCGCTGATGGCCACAAACGTAAGTCGTGTCTTTGACCAACATAATGACCGACCTATGATGTCACAAAGGTCGGAGTTTTTGAGTTTTGTGTAGGAGAACAGAAAAGAGAAATCACGGTTTGGGGAATTCCTGGAACTGCCTATAAATTGATTAACTGGATAATAATACCTGATGACAAAAGGAGTACACACGTGAGCGACTAGTTATTCAAGTGTGTATTTGCTCTCATTCAAATTTGAAATACAAATAATCGCTATTTATATATATATTGAGAAGAGGTTTGTGGGTGGGGGTGGGGTGGGGTGGGGGCGTTTTCTCTTGACCATACTTTAATTTGTTTAATTATTATCATCTTCTCTTGATCATATTGTCACAACATGCATAACGGTAAACGTTCTGATTTTGTTACGAGACATATATCACAGAATGTCATACTCGATGGTTAAAGTTTTAAAGCGATGATGAAATACGCCTAAAAATATCAACGCGAGTATACAAGGATTACAGGTATTTTATGAAATATATATTTTATATTTTTACAAATATGATTTGCCCCGATTGGGAGGTGATGACCAGATATTTAAGTTTCGGTCCGGATAAACAGGATGGCACGATGCTCACCGTTAACAACGCCCACTGTCCACACGAACATATATGGGCTGTGAACTGCATGTGCATAGTCAGTAGATTTTATTTAGAATATGTGTTCTAAAAGCAGTTACAGCAATACACAAACACTTAGAAGGCCATTCCAAATTAGTACACTGGCATATTGGTATACATTTAGACATTATTTATACTACTCAATAAAAAGTTAGGGACCACCCAATTCTATCATATTATCATAAACATTCATCCGATTCTTCCCTATTAGTATCTTTCACCCGATTCTTTCATATTGCTACAGTTAATCTAGCATGGCAACACGCATTAACTGTAGTACTATGAAAGGCTCTTTGGGTCGTAACAATTTTTTGAGTAGTATAATAAAGTATATGGATTTCATTTACAAAACAAACACCAATATGCCTTCTTGTTATTGAAATACTCGGGTATATTGCAAGTTTACTCACAAACCCAGAACAATTTGAAGAAAAGCATGGAACCGCAAAAGAAATGGCAAGAGAAAATGATACAAAGCCAGTGACGTATTGACGTAGGACATGCACATGCAAGTTCACATGCAACTCGTACCTCTAGATAAGAAGAAACAATAACGCTAATAATAGAAGATGGGCGCAGGTTATGTTTCAACTGACCGACAGATGTATCACAGTGGATTCAGTGTTGTATTTTTCATTTTCCCATATCAGATACGCAGATTTTATACACATTTATATTGATATACATTTAGAAATTATTTAATAAAGTTTTTATTTTGTATACTGTGTGACGTCTTATAAGATATACTTCATAGTGTACCTAAGGTTTGTTTGTTTTATATTTAACGTCGCACTCAGCAATATTCCAGCTAAGGCAGCAGCCAAAATAATAGAGTATGGACCAGACAATCCGGTGATTGTTATTAAAAGCAACGGTCTTTGTCGACGGGGTACGATGACACGCCATCGCCCAATACAAGTCGCTGAGTCTGACCACCCGAGTCTGACCACCCAAGCTTGACCACCCGAGTCTGACCACCCAAGTCTGACCACCCGATCAATTTGCTCACCACTTTCGACCTGCACAGGCTGCCGGGGACAAATTCTGTTTGTTTGTTTGTTGGTTAACGCCGCACGCAGCAATATTCCAGCTATATGACGGCTGTCTGTAAATACTCGCGTCTGGATCAGACAGTCCAGTGATTGACATCATGAGCATCGATCCACGTAATTGGGATACGATGACATGCATCAACCAAGTCAGCGAGCCTGACCATCCGATCCCGTTAGTAGCCTTTCACGATAAGCACAGTCACCTTTTACGGCAAGCATGGGTTGCTGAAGACCTATTCTACCCCGGATCTTCACGGGTGAACCAATTCTGACCCGGATTGTATGACGTGGTAGCTTATCAACCAACCGTTCACGTCGCAGGTGGCGTAAATTCCACCCTTCGTGGCAGGACCGTTGCTATACGACTGATTCTTGTGAATCTGACAATTGGAGCTGTAGTCGTAACACAAGTGGCAGATCAGGGGTGTTTCATGGTGTTCAAACCACTCATGCCTATGACAAAATACCTTCTTGTCAGTGAAATACTCATGTATATTGTCAAGTTGACACAGAACCCACGTGACCCCATCCCTTTATAAGACTTACATGTACAACCAACGCTTTACCAACAAGTGCCATGGTTCTTGTCTGTCTCCCTGGCCCAGTGGATGGAGTGTTTGCCCGGGTTGGTGGTTCGAGCCCCGGCCGCGTCATACCAAAAGACGTTTTTGGAAGCTGGTACTTGTTGCTACCCTGCCTGGCGCTTGGCATTGAGAGGATAAAACAAAGACTGGTCGGCTCGGAGCAAGCACACGGTGTCTGAGTAGGGTATATATGTTGAACTGCGGCATGGTATCTCGGTTGACTAGTACTATGGAAAAAAACCCGGCATTAGTCCGGCATTACTGGCACAAACGCATACACACGCATGCACGCATACACGCGCGCGATTGTTATAGGTAGAATTTGATCATAATCTTGTACGTTAGTGTAAAACACCCCCTGAAACCTTACATATCCAAATCTCTGACAATGTGTTGGACAATATTGTGTGCTGGAAATAATCTAAGAAGAAATTGACTACAAAGGCACAAAGCATACACCCAACATCCCACCCCCTACCCTGGACAGATGGGGTACAGGGTGTATTAAACTGTATGCCCACACTGTGAACATCCATAAACAAATATGTCTATAAGTGCGTATATACTGTTGAACAGTTTCGCCTGTTTAGTTAACCCGTTCGTGCCAGGTACGATGTGCGTGAGCGGGTCAGCAAATAGACACACAAACATGTGTTATGAAAGAGTAGACAAAACATATAGAGACGAGTACTTGGTCGCGACATCTGACCTCATGAATATGCATGAGTTCAAGGCTCGAGCGTGACACCGGCATATGAAGCACGTGCAAATGGTGTCAACATTGACAGTGGGTAGATAATCTAATATAGCTAGGGAAACGCCCTGATGCTATTCAATAGAATAATCTATTTTCCTTTGAATTGAAACATGACGTGTATACAACAAAATGTACGCCAACAACAACATTCTTACGTCAGGTGAGCCCGAGACAAATCTGTTCTTAAACGCAACGTTTTACGTTCTAAATATTTGTTGTTGTCTGGTGTATTTACAACTAACTTAACTCCCCCGGTCTAGTTCAACTGGTCCAACATTGTCTTGCTTTCCGTTGGATACAACTGCTTTGATATGAGTGTTTGTTTGATTGCTGTTTAACGCCGTACGCAGCAATAATCCAGTTATGGCGGCTGCCTAAATAATCGAGTCTGGACCAGGCAATCCAGTGAGTGAGTATGGTTTTACGCCGCTTTTAGCAATATTTCAGCAATATCACGGCGGGGGACACCAGAAATGGGCTTCACACATTGTACCCATGTCGGGAATCGAACCCGGGTCTTCGGCGTGACGAGCGAACGCTTTAACCACTAGGCTACCTGACCGCCCCTCAATCAAGTAATTTGACACCGTGAACATCGATCTACGCATTTGGGATACGATGACATGCATAATCCATGCCACCGAGTCTGACCACCCAATTCCCTTAGAAGCCTCCCAGGACACGCACGGGTTGCTGAAGACCAATTCTAACCCAGATCTTCCCGGGTCAGCTTTTTTGAAAAGTGGGGAGGCACATCTTTTTTTTTAAAAGGTGTGGACGGGGTGTGTGGTTTGTTGGGGGTGAATACTAGTTATTCAGGGCTCCAGGGCAACAGTACACCTGAAGGGTTACAGTACACTTCCAGGCCTGTGCAGAGTGACATGTATTATTGTACAGTCTTTCATCTATACAGATCACGGCCTGTCAGCTTAATGTATAAGCACCCATGAAATGAAGGTGTTGAGACGTTCACGGCCATTATGAAACAATTCGTTCAGTCGGTGTTTACACACAAGCGATCATCAGTGGGAGAAATCTGGGCTTCAAATCTATGATGGTCATAACCTCTGGACGTTTGTACGGTCAAGGGACACAACTCGGCACAGTCACTTGTGGCACATTTAAACCACTGAGTCAACCATACCCCTAAGGCCCACAGTACACATACATCAGAGAACATAACGCTTCCCATGGTTGGATTAGACTGTTAGACAAAGAGCTGATCTTTGAGGTGAGGCTGAGGTGAAATGGAGTTTAACGTCGCATCCAAGATTATTGCACTAACATAGCAACGTGCATGTACGTGTGTTGCTGCTTGTACTAGTCCGGACTGATGCCGTTTTTATAGTGCTTGTACCCCTGAGATTCCATGCCGCAGTTTAACACGAATGCCCCACTCAGACACAGTATTCTGACTCCGAGTCGACCAGTCCTTGTTTTTAGCCCCTCAAACTCCGGACTTTCCGCTCTCCACTAGACCATGGAGGCGGTCCTGTTTCAATGACTTGGTCTCAGCCAAAGATCCTATTGAGTCTTGTGTGTAGGGTCCCTGTCTCAGCCAAAGATCCTATGGTGTCTTGTGTGGGGTCCCAGCCTCAAAGATCCTATTGAGTCTTGTGTGGGGTCCCTGCCTCAGCCACAGATCCTATGGTGTCTTGTGTGTGGGGTCCCTGCCTCAGCCAAAGATCCTATGGTGTCTTGTGTGTAGG